GGGGGGGGAATGACAGACGACTACCGGCATTCATGCTTTCGGCGCCCTGTCATTCAATTTCTGCATGAAGTTTGCTTATAAATTATATATTGTATTAGTCAAACAATGGTCTACAATTATATATTGTAGTCATAACTAGATTGTAATGAAATGGATGTAGTATGCCAACTAAGATCTGAATTTCATAAGTTATAAGATAAGACTATTTCATGGGATAAATCTTCGGTTAGGCTCGAACTATTATTCTGTAGTCGTAAACATTGTGCGCCCTTGTAGATTAGTAATGACATTTTAGTTTATAATTACTCGAAGTAGTATGGCTTTGAGTTTAGTCTGTCAGAAAAAATGGTTTATATTGTAGCTCAATCAGTTTGGAACCTTTTCATTGTTATAACCTAGTGCCTAGAAAATGTGTAATCTTGCAGTGCTTTGCCAATAGTGTAAGCAATAGATTACAAAACCTCTATTGGTTAAGGATGAGGGAATGTGGAGTAGGGAACAAAACAACCTTAGCAAGTATTCAAGTAAAGAATAACATTGAATACTTATTCAATTAATATGATGAAATATTTATAATTTTGGAAATTCTGTTAGCAATACGCTGAAAAGTATGTGCTACAGTCAATGCTGTTAAATATTAAAAAATATTACTATCTCCATAAGAAAAAAAGTTTGAAAGTAATTTGCAATGTATATGTTGCGAAAAAGTCTCAACTTTCAAGATTCTCCCCATAGTTACAGTTACTCCAAATTTCAAGATCCTCTGTAGCTGAACAGCACAACGAGAATGGTCCATCAAAATACGCCGGTGTGCGCGTCTTCCGTTTCAGAACTACAGTATAGAATCATTTGATTCGAAAGGGCTGGAGGATTTCCCCCGTGTGGAAACTAGTTTCTCAATTGATGAAAAATATTGCATCAGTCAGTCATCATCAGACACGTTTCCGGCTGAGTTATATGCTGTACGTTGTGCCCGATTTGAGTACGTCGTTTCGAACTCAAGATGTGAAGTGTGACAAGTATGAACACTGAGATTCAATTTTGAAATATAATTATGTTATATTTTAAAATATAATATAAATATATTAACTGTCATACCCGATAGAGCCAAAGTGGTTGTATTGACAGCGTGATGAAATCATGTTCATAACGGGAAACATTATTTTAAGAAAGCCGTCAACTTAATTCCGCAACGTCAAGGAGGATTAAAAACATACCGTGAGAAAAACATGATTCCGTTGAACATGGAAGTAGACGTACGGCTAAACTCAGTTTTATTAGACAATACTACTATTCGGACTTTGACCTAAAGGGCTTACCTCTAGCCGCGTAAAATAAAAAATAACAGTTCGCCTAAATAATGGCATAGGTCCAATTTTCATTCCATTAATTGTTTCGGAGTCATTTGTGTTAAATTGTACGAATTGTTAGATTCTACTATCGCTTGCGTACAGGGAAACCTCTCGAAATACTACCCCTCTCAACGACCAATTTTGCTTGGAACCGACACTCAAATTCGTGTATTGTATGCAAATTCTACCCCCCCCCCCGTTAAGACAACCTTTCACCCCAGTCCTTTAATAGCAATTTTATTAACTTTCGTAATACTGTTTGTTAATATATCTGCATAACGCAACTCCATACATGAATGAAAAGGCAATCTTAATGGCCGACGGCCGTTAAAAAGCCAAGTGATCTTCGAACTATTTAGTAAAGTTAATTTTTTGTTTTTGTGCAATTAGGTGTAACTAGCACTCCGTTGCTCGTGGTTTCTGTATAAATAGTCAATGACACAAGTTCGTCTTGTCTCGAAATGGGACAAGGGGACAAAATGGGACAAATGAAAAGCGGGACGGGGGAGGGGCAAAATGGTTCTAGTATGTTCTTACGGTAAAATCTTGGTATTGTAAATGTCGCATATAAAGCAAGAATCGTATAGATTTGAAATGGAAGATGGCGTTGCACTCCTACGTATTAAAAGCAAATAAGTTTCTTATTTAGATATTTTTTCTTATAAGAAGATGGTATTACGAAAAGTATCGTACGACCAACGGCCGATATCACAAACAGACTTTGTTGTTTGTAAACCCCGGCTATCGCCTCGGTTTACAAACTTCAACCGCGTCTCTTATTTGGTGTTTATCGATCTAAACGCGTTAATGACCTTTAAGAGACAGCCTTCAGGAAAAAATGAAAGTGTACAATACACCAAATTTTCAGTAGGTTTTTGAAATTAAAAATTGGCTTCATTCTAAAAAGTATATTCAGATGACATGTGTGCCTCAACCTAATTCTCGAGGAA